AGAAAGAAAGAAAGAAAGAAAGAAAGAAAGAAAGAAAGAAAGAAAGAAAGAAAGAGGATAAAACAAAATAAAATAACATAAGGTAAAACAAAATAAAGTTATTAAAATAAAAAATAATTATTAAGAAAAAAAGTTTTTTAAAAAGTATAAAAAACAAAAGAAAAACGGACAGAAGAAACCCTAGGACAAATGTTGAAAGCAAAGCTATACAGACAAAATCTCACACAGAAGCATATACATACACACTCTCAAAAAGAGGAAAAGGGGAAAAAATAGTAAATCTTGCACTCACAGTCTACCCCCTTAATTTGGGATGATTCATTGTCTATTCAGGAATTCCACAGATGCAGGGTACATCAAGATGATTGTGAAGATTTAATCCGCTGCTCCTGAGGCTGTTGGTGGGAGAGATTTCCCTTTCTCTTCTTTGTTCTCACAGCTCACAGGGGCTCAGCCTTGGATTTGGCCCTGCCTCTGCTTGTAGGTCGCCGGAGGGCATCTGTTCTTCGCTCAGACAGGACGAGGTTAAAGGGGCTCCAGCTCACTCAGGCCAGGGGGAGGGAGGGGCACGGAGTGTGGGGCGAGCCTGCGGCGGCAGAGGCCGGCGTGATGTTTCACCAGCCTGAGGTGCGCTGTGCGTTCTCCCAGGGAAGTTGTCCCTGGATCCCGGGACCCTGGCATTGGCGGGCTGCACAGGCTCCCTGGAAGGGAGATGTGGATAGCGACTTGTGCTCACACACAGGCTTCTTGGTGGCAGCAGCAGCAGCCTTAGCGTCTCATGCTTGTCTCTGGGATCTGCGCTGTTAGCTGCGGCTCGTGCTCGTCTCTGGACCTCCTGTAAGCAGTGCTCTTAATCCCCTCTCCTCGTGCACCAGGAAACAAAGAGCTCACCTTCATTGTTGAAGGATAGTTTTAACAAATACAGCATTCTTGGTTTACAGGTTTTTTTTTCTTTAGCACTTTGAATATATCATACCAATTTTTTGTGAACTACTCAGTTTCCCCTGAGAAATCGCTGAAAATTTTATGTGGGCTCCCTTGTATGTGGCAAGTTGCTTTTTTTCTTGCTGCTTTCAAGATTCTCTCTCATTGTCTGCGACTTGATGATTTGATTATAAAAGTCTTGATGTGGGTCTCTTTAGGATTTATCCTCTTTGGCATCATTGAGCTTCTTGAATTTGGATGTCCATTTTCTTCCTCACATTTGGGAAGTTTTCTGCCATTATTTCTTCAAATAGGCTTTTTGCTTCTTTCTTTCTCTCCTCTCCTTCTGGCACTCCCGTTATGTGTACATTGACCACTTCATGATGTCCTGTAAGTCCATCAGGCCATCTTAACTTTTCTTCATTCTTTTTTCTTTTTCGTTTTTCATTCTCCTCTGACTCAGTAATTTAAATTACTTGTCTTCAAGTTCACTGATTCTTTCTGCTGCTTGATCAAATCTGGTGTTTAACCCTTCTAGTGAATTTTTCAGTTTTTATATTTTATTCTTCGGTTCCTGGATTACTGTTTTTTTTTTTTCTTAAAATTAGTTTCTGTCTCTTTGTTGGTATTCTTATTTTGTTCATGCCTCATTTTCCTGATTTCATTTAGTTGTCTACCTCTGTTCTCTTTTAACTCATTGACCATCTTTCAGGTGGTTATTTTGAATTCTTTGTCAGGTAATTAATAGATTTCTATTTCTTTAGGATTGGTTTCCAGAGACTTATCTTGTTATTTTGGTTGGGCCTTGATTCCTTGTTTCTTTGTTTACTTTGTGATCTTTTATTGAGACTTGGGCATTTGAAAAGACAGCCACCTCTCCCAACCTCTGCAGTCTGGCTTTGTGCAGGGGAAGACCTTCACCCATCAGCCTGGGTAGAGATTTTGTGGGGGGTGGCCCTCATGTCTTTTGTGAGGATGTTTCTCTTTGGGGCTTGTGTGTGTAATTTTCCAGTTAGAAGGTTTGCCCCTGTTATCAAGAGCTCATATTCTCTTGCTCTCCCTGGTGTCTGTTTGTGGTACTGCAGATTCTTTGGTGCTATAACAAGCCACCATGCTTGCTTTTGTTCTTAGCAGCCCCCAGACATCCAAAGTATACTGCTGTTCCCTTCAGCCTTCTGAGTCAGGCAAGACAGAAACCAGTTCCTTGGACAGCCCACTGTAAAGTCAGAATGTTAGCTGTACATTCTGCTCTTTTCTTTCCTTTCAAGGAGAAACCAGGAGACAGGGTTTTTTCCCTGATTGTGGTGCCCTATGCTGGGTGGATGGGGACTGTGGCAGGTAAATGCAGCAAACATTTTTGTTCACTTCAGTGTGGCTCTGCTTGGCTTTGTACTCGCCTGGGGTGCTGCAGTCTCTTAGCTGGTTTATGCACTTCTCATAAAGGCAACTTGGCCCGTAAGTTGGGGTCTCTGTGGGGGAATGAGGGCCTGGGGCTTCCTATCCTGCCATATTTATGACATCTCTCAAGTGTTATTCAAATCTTTGCTTTATGAAATGGAGATAATTAATATTGGTAGAACTTTTTTTATTTTTAATAAATGTATTTATTTCTTTATTTTTGGCTGTGTTGGGTCTTCGTTGCTGTGTGCGGGCTTTCTCTAGTTGCAGTGAGTGGGGGCTACTCTTCATTGTGGTGCACTGGCTTCTCATTGCGGTGGCTTCTCTTGTTATAGAGCATGGGCTCTAGGCGCATGGGCTTCTGTAGTTGTGGCACACGGGCTTCAGTAGTTGTGGCTCGCGGGCTCTAGAGCGCAGGCTCAGTAGTTGTGGCACACAGGCTTAGTTGCTCCATGGCATGTGGGATCTTCCCGGACCAGGGCTCAAACCCGTGTCCCCTTCACTGGCAGGCAGATTCTTAACCACTGTGCCACCAGGGAAGTCCCAATTTTGGTAGAACTTTAAATAGGTTAGTGGCACATATAATCTGTCTCACCTCCTTTTCTAATCAAAGATTAAAGAAGTCATTCCAGGCTTCTTTCCTGTCTCTGTCTATCTCTCTTTAGTAATGGTGGCTAACATATAATAAGTTCCTTACTTTGTGTCAGGAACTGTTCATGTTCCTGTTGTATGTGTTAATTCATTTACTTCTGACACTAGTTGTAAAAGGAAGATACTATAATTATTCCCAATTTTCATGGGAAGAAACTGAGTTAAGAATCTAAGTAATTTACCTGAGGTCATACAGCTGATTATTGTCTTATACTCAATTTTAACAAGACATTTTGTAGCATGGAATGAGAAATATATATATATAAATATATATATATATATATATTACTTAGAATAAGTTAAATTTATTTATTTTGGGTCAGGTAGAGATTCTTAAAGTTTGTTGACTGTCCTATTACAGTTTGATCATTGAATTATTTGTTAGGTATAAATAAAAATTCTGTGTTCTGCAGTTTTTATAATCAGCATAATGTACCCATGTGTTTTCTCTTCTTTCCAGCTTTATTGAGATGTAAGTGACATGTAATATTGTGTGAGTTTAAGATGTACAGTGTAATGATTTGATATATGTATATATTGTAAAATAATTATTACAATAAGGTTATTTAACACATCCGTTACCTCACATAGTTACAGTTTGTGTGTGTGGTGAGAACTTTTAAAATCTACTTTCTTAGCAACTTGAAATGAATAGTCTTTAATTTGAATATAATACGTTGCTTATATTATATAAACTGGAAGTCTCCTTTTGATAAAATCTTTGTTGTAATAGGCAATTATTGAATTATTATGGATATTATTTTGTGTTGATTATAAGTGGTAATAATGCTGTTGGAAATCCCTATAATTTAAATATTCAAATATAGAATGACACCAAAGGTGACACCAATGACACCGAACGTGTGTGTGTGTATATATATATATATATTTTTTTTTTTTTTTTTTTTAATTTTTACTGGAGTATAGTTGCTTTACAATGTTGTGTTACAAAGATGTATATTTTTGTTTTTTGCAGGACAGAGTTCATTCAAAAAGGCAGGATTTCAATCACAGGGGCTGGTTTTCTCAACTGCGTTTTGGAAACTTTTGCCAGCACATTTTTAAGACAGGGTGCCCAGAAGGTAAGCTTCTTTTCACTTTGAACCAACATTAATTTTAAGAAACCATGGAGATTCCCACTGGGTTCTTGAACAAGGCTCATGAACAGACAAAACAAGAAAAATATACAATTAATAAATATATGCAAAGATAATTACCCTCACTAATTATTACATAAATCCAAATCAAAGTAAAACTGAAGTGCCATTTGTGGCTCATTAAGTTAAAAGCATGCCAATGAAGAATATGTGATAATATGGGAATACGTATAGTCTAATAAAGAGAAATAATCAGAATGAATAATTATATTTACTGTATATACAATGTGATGACAGCTATTTAGTAAAAAAGATACTAATAGCTAATATTTATGGAGTAGCACTTACCATGTGCTACTCACTAAAAAGAATATTTAATCATCAATTCATTTAATGCTCACAAACCTTGGAAATAGCTGTTATTGTTGTCCTGATATTCTGGACAAAGAAGACACAGAGCTCTGGAGCTGCTGATTGTCTTTTATTGTGGTTTTCAAGCTCTATACTTGTGGGAGCTTAGGCTTCCATGAGTGTTATTCAGAGGCCACCTTGAAGCTCTAAGGTCCTATGTTAACCCTGTGTTTTAAGTAGTGCTATTCTTTTTTTCATCTGTTTTATATAGTATTACATAAGAGACTCATATATCCTGTTTTCTTGCCTAGGAAAGTCCATTTCTTATGCACCTTTATATGCCTATTGTAGGTGTTCCAAAATATTTTTAAATTATTTTATTAGTATTTGTTTTATTTATTATATTTAAAAACTATTTGTCATTATTATTGTTATTAATTATGTTGGTGAACATAATCACTTATTTCCAGGGTTTACTCAGGTATGATGCATGTTACCTAGTTTTGTTTTGTGGGACAGGCTTAATGGCTGGTCTAAAGAACTATCGTTATGACCTTAGAGATTTTATGGGTAATAGACGTTGGTTCTCGTTTTACAGATCTAGGTTCAAGAATGAACCTCGACCACAGTGTGTTAATCTGGGAGGCTGAGGGTGATGGATGAATATTTGGTACTGTACTGTACTCCACAGACATACTGTCTAGATTGATGATGTGTTCCTGACCCTGGTGAGCACATCGCCAGGCTGGCCCTGCCTGTGTAAGCCTGGGCTTGAAGTGGATAGTTGAGCTTCTGCAAGGTCTGATGTGACTGTCACTTACTCAGGCATTATTGCGGGTTTACCCTGCTATCTTGCAAAATATGCATTTGTAAACAGCCCCGTCTTCTGCAAAATTGCACTCTAAAAATAATAGTGCTGATGAGAAGGTAACTTTGGTTCTATGTCCCTGACTGAGTTGACTTCTTGGACATTGTTTGTTTGTTTATTTATTTATTTATGGGTGCACCGCGTGGCTTGCAGGATCCTAGTACCCCAACCAGGGATTGAACTGTAATCTTTGCAGTGGACGTCAGAGTCCTAACCACTGGACCACCAGGGAATTCCCAGAGACATTGTTGAGATTAAAAGTGGCAAAGTTTTTCGGTAAAGAGCCAGATAGTAAATTTGTTAGACTTTGTGGGCCAATAGGCGAAATCAAGATACTGTGTAGGTGCTTTGTAACAAGAGAGAACCAAATGTGCACACATTTTTTATTGACAAAATTAAAATTATAATAATAGTAATTGAGTATAGTTTTTACAATAAAAGTCTACTAAGCATATAATTCTTAAAAGAACGGAATTCTTTTTTGGGGGGAGATAACATTTACCTGAGTTGGGGTTAAAAATTAGTATTCCCTACCATCATATTGGTTGCAAATGTTCATTTGTAAAAACCATTGTTATCTTGTGGACCATACAAACACAGGTGGTGGCTGGATTTGGCCTGTGGGCTATAGTTTGCCAGCCCTTGCTTTAGATAAATAAATATTGTTTGTTTAATCCGAGTGGGTCTCTGTTTGACCTGCCCATCATTCTAAACCTTTTAGTGACTTTTAATCACACAGTGATTGTGTACATTCTGATTCTGTGAGATACATAAAGAGACACTATTATTCCCATTTTATTGATGAGAAATGTCTTGAAGAGGTAAGTGCACCCAGTCTGTAGGTGGCTACTTGCCCAGAGTCCTTCCTCTGGCAGATATATTTTGAGTACCCGCTTTGTGGGAGGCACTGTGTTGAGTGTGGGCTAAATGGATTTACTCAAGGTCACAGGACTGGCAAAGGGTGGAGACTGGACTCACACCCCCATCTTTTATCACTTACTGTGCCACTCACTGTTCAAGGTGTGTTCAGGTGAATGAAGCAGAATGCTAGCCAACTCAGCATCATGCTGTGCTTTAGATGAATGTGTGTTGTGGTCCTACTCCCTCTGTATTTATTAGGGCTCTTTGGTGGCAAATAACAGAAACTACCTTAGGCTAGCTTGATACAGAGCTACGAGGGTGGTGAGGCTGGCAGGCTTCAGAATGGCCTGCCCTGGAACTGAGAGCTGCCAGGAACCCAGGTGGTATTCCTTCTTTAGCACTTGTCCATACAAATATGCATCGGCTTTATTCTCTTCTTATGCAGTCTGGCTTTCTCTGCTTCACAGGCTGTATAGTGCGACGTGGGCCTCCGCAGTCCAAGTGTACTGTTAGGTAGCTTTCTGGCCAACAGGGAGACTGCTTATTTCTTCCTTTCCAAATTCCCTGGAAGGAACTCTCAGTGGCCTTCCATAGGTCAAACATGGCCAGGAGGGGTGAAGCCAGGTTGTGTAAATATGGCTAATCCTATGTCACAACTACGTGGATCAGTGTTAGGGTGTTAGTTCCCAGGGAAAGGGGTGGTAGAACGGGTAAATACTCCTAAAGTTTTCTGGCATGGTCTTAACAGTAGTACTAGGCTCTTGATGACAGAGTGACAGTTTCATTCATCTTACACCCAGTCCCCCCAACCGTAGTACCTAGGACAGTGCTCAGTACGTAACGTGGACATGAGTAAAAAGGAAATAGAATGCACAGCAAGGTCCACAGCTGGTTTCTGGTGGCTTATCTGGAAATCATCAAGTGACTAAATTTTTAAAGTGAGTAATCCAGTGATTCCTCTGAATTCCCGCTTATTTATGCTCAGAAGGAAGAAAATATTTTTCCTGCTACCTTTTGCCTTTTCTGACTTTACTTTTTTTTTTTTTAAAGAGGCTTAGTTTAATTAGTTAGCTTTTCAATTTTAGCAGCCAATGAGTCATGCTTAAGTATCTTTTATCTTTTACCCAAGTGGTGATGTTTTCCGGTATCAGCCTGACTTCCTGATAAACCTTCACAGCTGAGCCTGATTAAGTGGTTTCTGTAGAAGTCATCATTAGAGTGTTTTAGGTGACTTTATTTTCAGTTTAGAACTTTATCCCTGAGGCTCTTTAGTGGGGATGTTACCAGATTGATCGTTGGACCATAGCTCAGCAGAAGCCCCCTGCCTCGGTGGTGGCGAAGGTTCTTTTTCCATTTGGATTCAGACAGCCAATAGTGAAACGATGCTGTGACTGAAACAGCACAAATTTTATTCAACGGCCAGAGACTGGAGAAGCAGGAAATTAGTTCGCAAATCAACTTCTGGGGGTGGGGAGTTGATCAAGGTGAGATTTTTAAAGGCAGGGTTAATGGTGGTGGTGGGTGCATATGCATTGGTTTTCTGGGAAAAGGCAGGGTTCTTCCTGCAACTGGGTGCCACTTCTTTTTCTTCCTTCTGTGGTCCGGTACTTCCTGTCATGGCACTGGTAGGTGTGTCATTCAGCATGATATTGTTATCATGAGCATATAATGAGGCTCAGGGTCTGCTGGAGGTCAGGTCTTCCACCTTCTTGGATTTGATTAGTTCTAACCGATTCTGGTGGCCTCTTGTTTTTCTGTTCTGGCGGTTTCCTGTAAGACAATATAACACTTCCCTTCCTTCCAGGAAGAGGGCAGGTTAGAGCTTGAGGCTAATAGTCATGGTAACAGTGGTGAAGGTGGGAGCTGTTTTTTTTCCCAGAAAAAGAAAAACTAGGTGCTCACTAAGTACATATCTATCTATCTATATCTATATATCTATATCTGTGTGTATAAATTAAAACCTAGTCCTAGATGTGGACCCCCAAGGTGAGATTGAAACTGTGCAACCCAGACTGGGACTTGAACCACGGTCATTTTTTTTTTTTTTGGATATATGCATTCTACTTTAATGATTTTAATTGTGCCCTATGTGACCACAGGAGAGAAGGAGATTAATCTTGAGATGTTATGGAATGCCTTCTTATTTATTTATTTTTTTAACATCTTTATTGGAGTATAATTGCTTTACAGTGGTGTGTTAGTTTCTGCTGTATAACAAAGTGAATCAGTTATACATATACATATATCCCCATATCTCCTCCCTCTTGCATCTCCCTCCCACCCTCCCTAGTCCACCCCTCTAGGTGGTCACAAAGCACCGAGCTGATCTCCCTGTGCTATGTGGCTGCTTCCCACTAGCTATCTGTTTTACATTTGGTAGTGTATATATGTCCATGCCACCCTCTTACTTCTTCCCAGCTTACCCTTCCCCCTCCCCATGTCCTCAAGTCCATTCTCTACGTCTGTGTCTTTATTCTTGTCCTGCCCCTAGGTTTGTCATACTTTTTTTTTTTTCTTTAGATTCCATATATATGTGTTAGCATACGGCATTTGTTTTTCTCTTTCTGACTTACTCGGTATGACAGTCTAGGTCCATCCACCTCACTACAAATGACTCAATTTCGTTTCTTTTTATGGCTGAGTAATATTCCATTGTATATATGTGCCACATCTTTATCCATTCATCTGTCAATGGGCACTTAGGTTGCTTCCATGTCCTGGCTATTGTAAATAGAGCTGCAATGAACGTTGAACCCACGGTCTTTTAATTGAGATCGCACACCTGGTCTCAGGACTTAATGAAACTCAGGTTCTTGATTCTTGTCACAGAAAGAACTCAGTGAGAGACAAAGTGATAGGTAAGAAGTGGATTTATTTGAGAGAAATGCGCTCCACAGACAGAGTG